GGATCAAAACTATGGCTGGTTCAGATTTTACCTCTTTATTATTTGTTTTTATTATTTTTTAAAAGATTTATTTATTTATTACAAAGTCAGATATACAGAGAGGAGCAGAAACAGAGAGGAAGATCTTCCGTCCAATGATTCACTCCCCAAGTGAGCGCAATGGCCGATGCTATGCCGATCCGAAGCCAGGATCCAGGAACTTCTTCCAGGTATCCCACGCAGGTTCAGGATCCCAAGGCTTTGGACCGTCCTCGACTGCTTTCCCAGGCCACAAGCAGGGAGCTGGATGGAAAGTGGAGCTGCTGGTATTAGAACCGGCGCTCATATGGGATCCTGGCGCTTTCAGGGCGAGGACTTTAGCCGCTAGGCCATGCTGCCGGGCCCTATTATTTGTTTTTAATATTTATTTTTGACCCAGCATGGTAGCCTAGTGGCTAAAGTCCTTGCTTTGCATGTGCTGGGATCCCATTTGGGTGCCAGTTCGTATCCTGGCTGCTTCACTTCCTATCCAGATCCCTGCTTGTGGCCTGAGAAAGCAATCAAGGATGGCCAAAGCTTTAGGACCCTGCACCCACATGGGAGATTGGCTTCAGACTGGCTCTGTTCCAGCTGCTGTGACCACTTGGGAAGTGGAGCAGCAGATAGGAAATCTTTCCCCCTGTTTCTTCTTCTCTCTGTAATTGTAATTTCCCAATAAAAAATAAATAAATATTTTTTAAAATGTATTTATTTTTACTGGAAAGGCAGCTTTACAGAGAGAAGGATAGACAGAAAGATCTTTCATCTGCTGATTCACATCTCAGGTGGCTGCAACAGCTAGACTGAACTGATCCAAAGCCAAGAATAGGGTCTCCCATGCGGGTGCAGGGTCCCAAGGCTTTGAGCCATCCTCTACTGCCTTCCCAGGCCATAAGCAGGGAGCTGGATGGGAAGTGGAGCAGCCAGGACACAATCTGGTGCCCATTTGGGGTCTTGGCACTTATAGGTAGAGGATTAGCTTGTAGAGCCATGGTGCCAGCCCCTAGAGTTTACCTCTTGCCAAGTTATAAAAATAGTAAAGGATGATTATACTATTTCAAATTCAAATTAGTCTCTGGTTTATCATCTTTAGAAGACTTGATATCTGGATGTCCACCGCACTGCATTCCCTAATAACTTTTAAGAGTCAATAACTCAAACATATATATAATGCTGACAGTCACTTATGAATGTTGAATTACATCAGTAATAACATTTGAACCCTCCTTTAGGGAATTAGCAGTGACACCAGCAGCAGTTCTTTAAGGTTCTTTTTTTTTTAATATACATTTTTAAATTTTGATAATCTTACATAGTTGATTAGGGTACAAAGGGTCAAGGACTAAAGGAAAGTGGGTAAGACCATTGTTTCTACACTAATATCATCATTTTTCCCCTGTATCTGGGGTCAGTGGAGAAACAAAACGAGAAGCCCCACCAGCCTCCCACCCATCCCAGGACCCAGATGTGGGGCATGCTCTGAGGGTCCTGCTCAAGCAGTTTTGATAGTTCAGCTGTTCTGAATTGCTGCCCATCTTGCCATTCCAAGCATGATAAAATCTATTCAGAATCCACTGGCCGACAAAGTCTCTTCATTGTTGGGTTTATGAGATCAGCAGTTCAGTTGGAGGGATCCTCCAAAGAAACTTCATCTGAGGTGATCCCAGACCTGATTCTTGTGTGTGCTTGCCACTGCAGGTGGTTCTGTAGTTTAACTTGACAGATTTAGCCCCCAGTGCCAGCCTCTGCCAGCTGTTGCTGCAGCAAAGCCCAACCAGTCCTCACCCACTCTAATTTTAGCTTGCACAGTCGAAACAGTCAGCCCAACCTGGCTTTTCTCTGATCTAGCTCACTTGAGGCCCACAGGTGTTGTAGCCCTGCCTAGTCTGGTCTGCCCCCATCCCAACCCACGCTCTCCAGTGGGAGTGGTTGTCCAGCTGGGGAGCCCACATTGCCCCTGCCGGCTTTGCCCTCTTCCTTCCTGGTTCTTATGTGTGCTGTTTGGGTGCTGCGGCCACATCTGGTACGGCTCACCTCACCTGGCATTCCCTCATGTGCACTAATTTGTGTGGTGACTGAACCTGGCCCGACCCACACTCTATTCTGGTGCTCGGATTTGCCAGCAGATGATGTGAACTGGTTCAGCCTGGTCTGCCGGTAGGTATCTTTCTCTGGCCTGGTCTGGGTTGCTCCCTCTCATGGTTCCTGCACTGACCTGCAGGGACTGTGTCCCGACAGAGGAATTTCCCAAGTTCCTCCATGAGAACCTCCCCCTACGCCAGATCTTGCGCATACTGGTGGGTACAGGCGCCAGCCCTACTTAGTCCACTTCCTGTCCTGGTAGGAAGAGTGGCCTTTCCTTGCTGGCCTTCAGTTCACTCCGGTTCTTACTAGTGGATGTTTCAGCCCAGCCAAGGCTCGTCCATACCCAGACACTGCTCACACATGGCTCAGTGGGGCAGAGACCTAGCCTAGTCCTTCTTACATCTACCCAGGTTCTCCAGAGCACCAGATGGTGCTGGCGTCTAGCCTGGGTAGTTGTACCCAGCCCCAGTTCACACTTATGCCAAGGGAGATTTGGCTGCCCCACTCGTGATCCTGCTTCCTTTAATGGGCTTTGGAAAGAGCAGAGGATGGCTTAAGGCTTTGGGCCTCTACACCCATAGGAAAGACCTGGAAGAGGCTCCTGGCTCCCAGGTTCGGACCAGCCTAACTTTTGCTGATGTGGCACTGCGACCATTCGAGAAGTGAACTGGCAGATGGAAGATCTCTGTCTCTGTCTCTCTCTCTCTCTAACTTTGACTGTCAAGTAAAATAACTTTTTAAGCTTTATTTTTATTGGAAAAGTAGATTTACAGAGAAGAAAGAAAGTAATGGCCAGAGCTGAGCTAATCCAAAGCCAGGAGCCAGGAGCCTCTTCTGGGTCTCCACACGGATGCAGGGTCCCAAGGCTTTGGGCCGTCCTCCACTGCTTTCCCAGGCCACAGGCAGGGAGCTGGATGGGAAGTGGAGCTGCTGGACATGAAGCAGTGCCTATATGGGATCCTGATGCATGCAAGATGAGGATTTAACTAGGCTATTATGCCGGGCCTGGAAATTTTTTTTTTTTTAAAGAATCATTCCAAAGCTATTTGGAACAATGGAAAGAGTAGGTTGTTGTTGGGGATGCAGATAGGATTTCTGAGTGGATCTTGACATGCTCAGGTGGGTCTGGTGTTTGGGATGTGTTTCACACCCCTAGGAGCTCTGACCAGGTTGCTTACTGTGGCATTTGTAAGAGTGAGTTCAAAGGGCCTTTAGTTCTTCTTGGATTATGTCTTCTGCCAGACAAAGCAGTGCGGTAACGTCTGCGTGCTTCGGTGCCTGTAGCACTTAGCTGTGTTACTATCATTTGCAGTGGGAAGACCATACACGCTGACATCAAATTCTTTTTCTTTTCTTTTCTTTTTTTTTTTCTTCTTTTCTTTCTTTTTAAATTGTAAAGTCAGATATACAGAGAGGAAGAGAGACAGAGAGAAAGATCTTCCGTCCAATGGTTCACTCCCCAAGTGACTACAATGGCTGGCACTGAGCCAATCCGAAGCCAGGAGACAGAAATTTCCTCCAAGTCTCACACGTGGGTGCAGGATCCCAAAGCTTTGGGCCATCCTTGATTGCTTTCCCAGGCCACAGGCAGGGAGCTGGAAGGGAAGCGGGGCGACCAGGATTAGAACCAGTGCCCATATGGGATCCTGGTACATTCAAGGCGAGGATTTTAACCACTACGCTATTGCGCTAGCCCTCCCCCCCCCTTTTTTTTTCAAGATTTATTTTTATTGAAAAGGCAGATCATATTTACAAAGAGACAGGGAAAGATTTTCCAAACACTGATTTACTCTATAAGTGGCTGCAATGCCAAAGCATAGCTAAGCCGATCCAAAGCCAGGAGCCAGAAGCTCATGTCTCCGACATGAATGCAGGGTGCCAAGACTTCGGACCATCCTCTACTGCTTTCCCAGGCCACAAGCAGGGAGCTGGATGGGAAGTGGAACAGCCGGGACACAAACCAGCACCCATATGGGATCCTGGTGCTGTTTCAAGGGGAGGATCAGACAACTGAGCCATTGCACCAGGCCCGAAATTCCTTTTCTACACAGTTCTCATCTTTCCCCCAGGAACTTCTAATTTAAAAAAAGTTAATCAGGCATGGACACTGTGACACTGCAGGTGATGCAGCTGCTTGAGAGGCCCACATCTCATGTCATAGTGCAGGTGAGGATGGCCGGAGACAGCGTCTGCACCCACATGTGATACCCTGACGAAGCCTTGGGTCCTGGGAGGCAGCGATCAAGTGTTAAGTAGCTCGGTTCGTGTTGCCCCCATGGGAGCTCTGGACCATGTTCCTGAGGACTGCAGTCCCGGCTCTCAGCCCTGGCCCTTCACAGGCGCTTGCACAGCCAAGCAGCAGATGGGATTCCTTTGTCTCTATGGCTCAAATTACAATGTTAAAAAATGCAAGCTGTGGCATACATACTCAGTGGGTGCTTAGTGCATGTGGCTGCTGGCTGTCTCACTCTGTCAGCACATGTCGTCTACTCTTCAGATTTCTGCAAGCCCTGGTTTTGTTTATCTTGCTGCAGTCAGGGTGCACGCGATTACGTGGTTATTCGCTGCCCTCTGGAGAAAGATGCTACTGTAAGAGCTGGTTTGCTCCCGTTCTCTTTCCTGTGACATTCATTGTGGGGTTACTGAGGGAGGGCTGAGAAATTCGTTGGTGGAGCCAACCTGGCGTCCTCCTGCTCCTGTACGGACCTCAAACATGGCGACAGCCATTAGGGAGCAGCCATGCTTCCACCACGTAATCCAGGCTCAGCCTAGGGCGGCCGGAACGTGACGCAAGGTTGAGGCGGAGCTCCTCCCCCGCACCCGTGACGTCGAGCGTCTCGTGACAGGTCCTTCCGCTCGGGGCGGCGGCGGTGGCGGAAGTGGGAGCGGGGCCGGAATCTTGGCCATAAAGCCCGAGGCGGCGGCGGCGGCGGCGGCTTTGGAAGCTTGGAGAGCGCCAGGGAGTCTCGGGGCGCCCGCACCTCGGCCTGCCGTGTCCTCGTCCTCCGCTTCGTCTCCTCGTCGTCTGGAGCCTTGGCGACGCGCCCGACCCGGAGTCCCCAGCGCAGCGGCCGCGGTAAGCGTCGGGCCCGGCCCGGCCGCCGGCCCCATCCCCCTCCGCAGCCCGCGGCCGCCCGGGCCCCGCGTCCTCCCCGTCCCGGGCCGGGCGCGGCGGGGCCTCGCGGGCCGGGCCCGTGTCGCCCGGGGCCCCGGAGCGGGGCTGCGCCGCGCCCGGCTGCGGACGGGTCGGAGGTCGCCGGCCGTGACCTCTGGCGGAGCGGCGGCCCCCGGGGCGCTGGGCGCGGACTGTCCGCGCGTGTCCTCGGCGGCGTCGAGAGCCGAGGCCGGGAGGCTGGCTGACGCCGCTGGCCCCGCGCCGCGGCCGGCCCTCCGCGCTGGCCCCACCCGCTGCCGGGCCCGGGGCCGCCGGGCGCCCAGCGCCCAACTGTCCGCGTCGGACGGCTGACCCTCCGTCGGGAGAGGCTCCGGCGGCCACTGAGTCAGCCTGAGTCAGCTCACGTGCGCGGGGCTCGCCCGAGACGCCGTGGACCCGCGAGCCGCCTCGGCCCCGCGGCATGCCATTGGCATGCCACACTAAGTGCCCAAAGTTTTAAAACTTGCGGACGACGATGGTGACTGGCTGTGGCACTCCGGACTTGCGGCAGTGTTCGCGGCCACTCACTGTTTAATTTAGGCTTAGTACCTCCCAGTGGTCGGTAAAAGTGGGATTGTGGAGGATTAGTAGCGTGCATTTGAGGGTTTATTATGTGTTGGGCTGCGTGGCAGAACCTTTAAACAGTGGTCTTTTTTTATTTTAACATATAATTTATTCAAAGGGAGGAGTGATGGGGAGAAAGCGGGCGCCGTAGTCTCCATCTGCTGGTTCACTCCCAAACTGGCTGCAGTGGCTAGAGCTGAAGCCAGGAGCCAGGAACGCCCTCCTGTTCTCCCACGTGCGAGTATCTTCCAGTTGCTTTCCCAGGCTCATGAGCAGGTTGCTGAATGGGGAGCAGAGCGGCCAGGACGGGCAGTGTGGTGCTCAGAGGGGATCCCGCCTCTGAGTGGGAGGTTAAATCATTTGTTGAAGGTCGTACAGCTTGCAGTTTATGGGGGCAGATTCAGCCCAAGCATTCAGGACCTTTAAGACCGTTCCCTCAGTTGGGTTGTAGTGCCACGTGCCCTGGAGTTCGCAGTGATTTTTGGCAGCTGCTGTGTGCTGGCTCCCTCCACTCCTTTGGGCTGTTTGAATGCCTGTCTGCTCGGGTTGGGCACAAAGTGGCATCCCCTGGCACCTACACTGTAGTGTCATGGAATTAAGAGCGCTGGAATCCTGGCAAGAGGTTGGACCATCTTGTTACCCGAGTCTGGTCTGTTTCAGGTGTTGAACCTGCCCGAGCCTTTCCCAGGAGCTTAGTTGGTGGTGCCCGTGTAGCTGGTGCATGTCTGTTGGAAATGCTACATCTTTGGATGCCAGAAGCTCTGGTCTGTTCCTTGTGACTTAAGCAGCTGATTAGACACGTGACTTCTCGTCCATGGATTAATGAGGTCTGTGTGTGTGTTTCCCTCTCCGGCATCAGCGTGGGAAGGGTTTGTTCAGATTGGAGTCTGAGAACTGGGAAGTGCCTTACGATTCTCTCTCCTGAAGACACAGTCCAAGCTGCAGCTCCTTGCTCACAGCCTCCAAGGGTTATAATTTGTCCTACGTTAAAAAAAGAAAAAAAGAGCTTTGTTCCCAAGCCTGATGTGTTTATGCGAGTAGTAATTGCTGCCACCTTATCTCATGTTGAGTGTTTTCACTCATTTATCAGCTGTTTGAGCATCTACTTGTGTCAGGATGTTATGGACTCTGTGGGGGTCTGGTGCTCCAGAAATTTCAAAATGATGAGTGCTCAGGGCCAGGAATTCTGTGGTGGCATGACTTTGCATGGAGCCTGCGGTCCTTGGGGGAGAGTTCTCGTGTCTTCAAGAGTTGTAATCCAAACAGGCTAGTGTGTAGTTAGCTTTTAAGACATTTGTTTTTTCAAAAGACATTTGTTTACTTGGGAGGCAGAGTAGTGGCACAGCGAGTTAAGCCACTGCCTGTCACTTCAGGGTCATGTGGGCAGTATTCTGACTCCTGGCCACTCCTCTTCCCATCCTCTAACTCACCTGCACCTGGAAAAACAGCGGAATTCGGCGCAGGTGCTTGGGCCCCCACTGGCCCTGTGGGGCCTCAGGGAGTTCCAGGCTTCTGGCTGGCCTGATTCGCCCCTGTCCATCGTAGTCATTTGGAAGAGAATACCAGACAATGGAAGGTTTGTGTCTCTCCCTCTCTGTCACTCTTCCTTTCAATGATGCTTTAAATTTTTTAAATAAATATTTCTTTAATTGGAAAGACATATATAAAAGGAGGTAAATATAGAAAGATCTTCCATCGACCAGTTCACTTCCCAAGTAACTGCAGTGGCCAGAGCTGAGCCAATCTAAAGCCAAAAGCCAGGAACTTCTTCCAGGTCTCCCACATGAGTGCAGGGTCCCAAAGCTTTGGGCCGTCCTCGACTGATTTCCCAGGCCACAAGCAGGGAGCTGGATGGGAAGTCGAGCAGCCAGGATATGAACCGGCACCCATATGGAATCCTGGCAGGTGCAAGGCAAGGATTTAACCACTGTGGTGCTGGGTATTTGTTTTGTTTTGTTTTGATTTGTAGTATTAAAATAGTGGCAGAGGAAAAGATCTATTTTTCATTCACTGGGTCCTTACCTGCAATGGCCAGGTCTGGGCCGGACTGAAGCTAGGAGCCAGGAAATCCATCTGTGCCTTCCCCGTGAGAGCTGGGGGGGGTGCAGTCAGTTCTCTGCAGGGTGCGTTAGCAGGAAGCTGGTTGAAAAGCAGAGTTTGAGACAGTTCTTGAATCAGACACTCTCCTGTTCATTTTATTTTAGCTTAAAATATTTGTTTTTATTGGAAAGTCAGATACACAGGAGGAGAAACAGAGGAAGATCTTCCATTCATTGATTCACTCCTTGAGTTGCTGCAACAGCCAGAGCTGAGCCGATCCAGCACGGGGAGCCAGGAGCTTCTTCCAGGTCTCCTACATGAATGAGGCATCCCAAGGCTTTGGGAGGTCCTCGACTGCTTTCCCAGGCCACAGGCAGGGAGCTGGAAGGGAAGCAGGGGTGCCGGGATTAGAACTGACCCCTACATGGGATTCTGGCATATGCAGGGCAAAGAGTTTCAGTCTCTAGGCTACCACGCAGGACCCTCTTGTTCATGTTAACCATAGTATTTGTATGACTTGCTTTTGAAAAGGTGTAGCAGATGATACTTAGTTGTTTTTCGTGTCTCTGGGAGGGTAACCTTTTACCTTCAACATTGTTTCTCATTTTGCTCTTGCAGCATTTTATGTTTTTGTTCACCTACAAGGAAGTCCACGGCGTCGTTACATTGCGCTACCATGACTTAAAGCAAAGATACATTTGACATAGTGAAGTTTGTCTTTAGCTCCCCCAAGAAAGCGTGTAGCATCTTACATCGATGGCTTGTGCTGCCCAGATTTCCACACCTGTAAGAGGAGTGTGGGAAATTGCTTTTCTGTTTGTTCTGGGACTACCTGAGCTCCCAGACAGAAGGGTGGCGTGTGACAGAAGGCCCCCTGAAAGGATTATTACTAATTACCTCCTCTAAGTTATTGTTAGCAACTTCTTGGCGGGTTTCTTTTCCTTGTTCCTTGTTCTTTTTCGGACTCCACCAGCAAAGAGCAGTGCTGTATTGTGCAGAGTGGCTCTGAATCTGTTGTCAGCCCACTACCTGGTGGAACCTGTGTTTTGGTTGATGCGCTTTTTTTTTTAAGATTTTATTTATTTTTATTGGAAGTCAAATATACACAGAGGAAGATCTTCCATCCGATGATTCACTCCCCAAGTGACTGCAACGGCTACAGCTGAGCCAATCCGAAGCCAGGAACTTCCTCCAGGTCTTCCACACGGGTGCAGGGTCCCAAGGCTTTGGGCCGTCCTCGACTGCTTTCCCAGGCCAAAGCAGGGAGCTGGATGGGAAGTGGAGTTGCTGGGATTAGAACCGGCATCCTTATGGGATTCCAGCGCATTCAAGGCGAGGACTTCAGCCTCTAGGCCAATGTGCTGGACCCTGGTTGATTGATTTTTAATAATTTGCACTAACATTTTTGCTCTTTGGGTATGACAGTCATGTTATACCTTGTTTCTGAGATTTAACATACAATTTTTTCTCCGTTTCATCAATGCCAAATTATTTGGCCATATAATTTAGTCACTACTTCTCCTGTGAGAGATCAGTTTGTGCTGGTGTTGGGCTGAGTGCTGGGGAGGTGAGGAGGAAGAGGAGTCCTCTGAGTGAGGTTGTATGGTGGTTCTCCTTGGCAGTGATGTCATCTTCTGATGGGACTGAGACTCTAGGAATGAACGGCCCCTCCCTGACCCTCTCAGCTATTGCCTTTCTGCCAATTCCTGTCTCCCGTTGAGGGGCCCTTGTGTTTGGGGTCCTGTCCCTTTGCCTTATCAAGTGCTCACCTGTCACCTCCGCCTGCTAGATCTCTTCAGCCAGCTCTCACCCCTTCCCGTTTTTGTTTTTGCCTTCACCCATGTAGCATTAAAAACATAAACTGGCTTCCATTTGTTTTCAAAGCTTTTTGTTTTCAGTTGTTAAGAGTGAGTTGCTGTGATTTGTGAATCAAAAGTAGAAGTGATGGTGGTGATAAGATCAAAACAAGCATTTTTAGCATGGTCATTGATTTCAGTTTTGGTTTCCCCGGTTGTGATTTCAAAAACAAGGTTGAGAAAAGCTGCTTTCAAAATCCCTGCTTACAGGAGGAAGAGGGCTTGTGAGCCGCTAGGCACCTGGCCTGATTGGCTTGCTAGGAGGTGACAGGCTTCTGAGTTGGGGCTACGAGTGTGGCCTGGGGCACTGTGGTTTGGTGATGTCCTTACTGTGCTGCTCAGGTGCTGGACTCTGAGCAGATCTGAGGCGTGTGATGGACGCCTGGGGGCCCAGACCTGCTGTCCTGCTCCCGGAGGGTTTGCTGCCAGAAAAGGGGGAGGGGCAGTCCATCTCAGTAAGGA